TGACACAGTACTAGTACATAGCAGAGATCAATGAAGAAGCAGTTATTCAGGAACCAAGTCTCCTGAGGCCAAGTACCTAAGCTCACGTTTTCAAAATAAGTTTTTAGATTTATCAGGAAAATAGTATGCATCTACATAAAAGGTAGAAAAAGAATTGACAAGGATTTCACCATACCTGGCTTGTTTGAATGAATGGCCAACATGGCAGAGAATACCTTGCTAAGTTGAGCTTTGGTAGCCTGAAAAGAGGAAGAAAAATTATACTTCCTACACGGCAAAATCGCTGCTACTAATCTCTAAGTGATCTATCCTGTACCCTTACCATCTATAAAATCCAGTGGGGCTATCATTAGGGGCATGTAAGCATACAAAGGTACTCATAGTTTTCTTCTACTTAAACCACTGTACCTAAATATCCTAAATATAAAATAAATTTAAAAAAATTCAGACCCCGGCTGGGTAGCTCAGTTGGTTGGAGAGTTGTCCCGATGCACTCGGGTTGTGGGTTCGATCTCTAAGCAGGGCACATACAAGACACTCTCTCTCTCTCTCTCTCTCTCTCTCTCTCTCTCCCCCCTACCCTCCCTCCCTCTCTCAAAAATAAATAAAATTTTAAAAAATTATTTTCAACTTTAATGAACAAATACACATAAAGATCATTTTCTTTTCAACTGAATTGAAAGCCACTGAATCATTCAGATATGCAAATGTTACACTAAAGTTCAGCCTTCTTGGGTTCTTTTCCCATTTGTTCACCCTAACACCTTTGCAGAAAACATGGAATTCAGTAGTCAAGTATGGGGCTTAAAAGGCCAACTAACTAAAAGAAAGAGGGAGCAAGACACGCTGTCCAAATACTCACCCATTTCTTACAGAAGACTACATAGGATAGCCAAAGTTGAACATCATCCTGCAAGAAAAGCAATGTAGTAAGCTGCCTGAATTTGAACTTTATATTTAAAACAACTTTGAAACAAAGGCAGATTTCAGAAAATCTCATCAGTTATGACACCCTTTAGTGCAGTGGTCGGCAAACTGCGGCCCCTTGAGTGTGGCTCTTCCACAAAATACCACGTGCGGGCACGCACGTACAGTGCGATTGAAACTTCGCGGCCACACTGAAGGGGCCAAAGAGCCGCAAGTGGCTCGCAAGCTGCGGTTTGCCAACCACGGCTTTAGTGTATTAGGCTCTTCCTCATCAAGGCCTTAGATCTCTTAACCACAATAACTCAATCTGTTCCCTACTCCCACCTACCATGCTCCAAGACAAAATTTGTTGTCTATCCAATTTGTTCAATGCAGTTTTTAAATGGTCTCAATCAAGCATAGCAACCAAAGCTGGTTTGGCTCAGTGGATAGAGCGTCAGCCCAAGGACTAAAGGGTCTCAGATTCAATTCCGGTCAAGGACACATTCCTCGGTTGCAGGCTCAATCCCGAGCCTGGGGTGCATGCAGCCGGTCAGGGCATGTGTGGGAGGCGACCAATCTACGTATTTCTCTCACATAGATGTTTCTCTCTCTGTCTCTCCCCCTTCCTTCCACACTCTAAAAATCAATGGAGCCCTGGCTAGTTTGGCTCAGCAGATAGAGCATCGGAAAGAGGACTGAAGGTCCCTGGGTTCAATTCCAGTCAAGGGTACATGCCTGGATTGTGGGCCCGATCCCCAGTGGGGGGCGTGCAGGAGGCAGCCAATCAATGATTCCCTCTCATCATTGATGTTTCTCTCTCTCCCTCTCCCTTCCATCTCTGAAATCAATAAAAATGTATATATTAAAAAATAATAATAAAATAAAAATCAATGGAAAAATAGCCCTGGGTTTGGATTACCAAAAAAAATAAAAGGAATAGCAACCCAAAATTTGTCATTCCTAGGAATCCAAAGTACTTCCCATATAACCTATAATAAAAGTGTACTATGCTAATCAGACCAGACAGCCAAATGACCTTCTGGGCGATCTTCCGGACGAAGCCAGGGCTGCGAGGGCCGAGGTCAGCCGCTGCAGCTGTGAGGGCCAAGCCCCTTGCACAAATTTTGTGCATTGGGCCTCTAGTGTATATAATACGTCCCAGTCCCAGAGCTGAACTTGAAGAAAATCAAGTTACTGAGATACTGCCCCTACTCTAAGCATTTATCTTCCCACATCTAAGTCTTTCCTTAGAGATATCAAAACAACTTTCTGATCCTTAATTATGTATCAAATCCACTGCTTTAAGCACCATCCTCACAGAATAACTATAAAGTAATGAGATCAATTTTTTTTAGACATATATATTTCTTTATTGATTTCCGAGAGGAAGGGAGAGGGAGAGAGAGAGAGCGAAACATCAATGACGAGAGAGAATCACTGATCAGCTGCCCCCTGCACACCTCCTACTGGGGATCGGGCCCACAACCCGGGCACGTGCCCTTGGCCGGAATCTAACCTGGGACCCTTCAGTCTGCAGGCCGACACTCTATCCACTGAGCCAAACCAGCTAGGGTGAGATCAATTTTCTTAATGGTTTAATAAGTCGTTTCAAGTAATGATACCATCATTAGACTAAGTACTGAGACACCCAAGATAAGAATAGAAATAGACAATACATAGGAATATCCACGTCATAATATGTATAATACATATCTTCACATCTCTCACAGTTAAGCAAGCTCTGATCACTTACTTTCCACTTTGCTGAAGCTCGTCGGAATATGCCTTGTACCCGGTGTACAATAGAATTCTCAATCTCATCCTTCTTAAATGAATACCCGATGCGCTAAAAAGAACATAAAAAAAAAACCAAAGCCTCAGTTTAATTACATTTATCCAAAGCTGCATTCCTACTTGGTCATTCAACAGTACTGACAGAGAAAGCAAATAATTACAAACATCCATTATGAGTACATCATCATGCAACTTACCAATGCCAACTACTTCCCAAACCCAAGTTCTAGCTATAAAGCCACCCTATTTCATTCGATATTTTTTCAAACTTCCAGAAAATCATCTACTTACAGCTCTTCTTCTCTGGATCAGCTCCAGAAAATTAATTTCATACTGTGGAAGAAAAACATACCAAAAAAAGACAAAAATAAGAAAAATTATAACATTTTACATATGTAGGAAATACATTTAGCTAAAATCATAAAGTAAATAAAAATCAGGAATAGAAAGTGGAAGGTAATTTGCTATCAAAAAGCATCATCTACAGTAAATGTCTAGCATTCACTGAAAATTCACCTTACTTCTACAAAACTGAAAAATACACATATGCCCTAGCTGATATGGCTCAGGTGGACAGAGCACAGGCCCTCAAACTCAAGGGTCTCGGGCTCGATTCCAGGCAAGGGCATGTACCTCGGCTGCAGGGAGCATGTGGGAGGCAACCAATTGATGTGTCTCTCACATCAATGTTTCTTTCTCCCCCCCACTCCCCACTTCCTCCCTCCTTTCCACTCTCTCTAGCAATCAATGGAAAAAATATCCTCAGGTGAGGATTAAAAAATACTAAAAATAAAATGCCTCTAATACCTCATAGCAAGTTTATATGGTTGTGTGCAAGTGGGGAATGTGGAAATATATGTAAGAGTGTGTGTTTATATATGTTTTTAATCTACTTATTTCAGTCATACTCTCTTTTAAAACTAAACGAATCAATCTAATCCACACACAATTCTTTTTTTTCATATTCCTCTATTTGTACTGCCTTTATTTTTTTTTTTTATTAAGTTATTACATATGTGTCCTTATCCCCACATTACCCCCCATCCCCTTACCCCCTGATGTCTGTGTCCATTGGTTAGGCCTATATGCTAGCATATAAGTCCTTTGGTTGATCTCTCCCCCTTACCCCCACCCTCCCCTACCTTCCCTCTGAGGTTTGACGGTCTGATTGATGCTTCTCTGTCTCTGGATCTGTTTTTGTTCATCAGTTTATGTTGTTCACACACAATTCTTAAATATTTGAAGAGTGAAGTGATTTGCCACTTCTTAAGTCTCCCGACAGTTAAACACCTCTATTTCCTTCAATAAATCCTCCTGGAACGAGGTTTCCATCCTGGCTGCCTTCCAACCAACCTTTCAAAGTCCTTCTTAAAATGTAGTCTTGAGCTTAACACACTGCTTGCTCCACACTTTTTTTCAAAACAACATCTTCTGAGTGCCTGCTATTTGCAATGTCCTCTGTTCAACTTACCCAACACCCTACTTTCATTAACATAATCCATTAAATTCTATTTTTTGACATAATATGCTCTTGGCTCATTTTAAGTTAGCAACTTACTATGAGCCCTAGAACCTCTTTCAAATACAAGACTCTTAGCCAGGTTGTATATATCGTTAGGATTTTGTTGTTGTGATTTTTTAATATTTTTTGATTTTAGAAAACGAGAAAGGGAGAGAGAGAAAAACATCAATAAGCGAGACACATCAATCAGCTGCCTCCTGCACACTCCCTCCTGGGGATCAAGCCCACAACCTGGGCATATGCCCTGACCAGGAATCGACCCTGCAACCCCTTGGTGCACAGGATGATGTTCAACCAACTGAGCCACACCAGCCAGGGCCCATTAGTTTTGTTTAATTCAAGCTCAGAACCTTTAGTCTTATAACATTTCATCTTGTTATTGGGTTCTTTCTGAATCCTGATCTTGTCATCCAACGTATTAGCTATTCTCCCCCATCTGAAAATTAGTCTGGCATATATATATATACATACTTTTAAAATATATTTTTATTCATTTCAGAAAGGAAGGGAGAGGGAGACATAGAAACATCAATGATGAAAGAGAATCATTGACTGGCTGCTTCCTGCACGCCACCTACTGGGATCGAGCCCACAAACCAGGCATGTGCCCTTGACTGGGAATCGAACCATGATCTCCTGGTTGATAGGTCAACACTCAACCACTGAGCCACTCCAGCCGGGCTAGCATATATATTTTATCCTCACTCAAATCGTCTATTCGTTTACAGGACTGAAGAATCTTGTGGCAACCTCTTTCTAAATTGACAGACTTACAGACACATAAGCATAAACTTTCCAACCAGCTACTATCATCAAACTCACTCTCCTTTCTTTTCCACACAAGAGATAGTCTGTCAGAAATTAATGAAAGATCTTATATGCATACTAGAGGCCTGGTGCACGGATTCTTGCACCAGTGGGGTCCCTCGGCCTGGCCTGAACTCCCTCACAATCCGGGACCCCTCCGGAGATGTCGGATAGCCAGTTTCGGCCGGATCCCCACAGGCCCGATCCAGACAGGAGGGAGCCCGATCCTGTGCGTTGAGCTTCTGTCCCCTGGTGGTCTGTGAGCATCATAGCAACTGGTCGACTGGTCATTTGGTCACTTAGGCTTTTATATGAATAGATACTAGAGGCCCGGTGCACGACATTGGTGCAGGGGGGCGGGGGGGGGGGGTCCCTTAGCCCGGCCTACGTCCTCTCACAGTCCGGGACCCCTTGGGGCAGTCAGACATTCCTCTCACAGTCCGGGCCTCTCGAAGTCCAGGAACCCTCGCTCCTTACCACCCATCTGCAGCAGAGGTGGGAGAAGGCTCCCACCACCGCCACTGTGCTCGCCAGCCATTAGCTCGCCAGCCATTAGCCAAGCTTCTGGCTCAGCAGAGCTCCGCCACTTTGGGAGCGCACTGACCACCAGGGGGCAGCTCCTGCATTAAGCGTCTGCCCCCTGGTGGTCATAGCATGTCATAGCAACCGGTCATTACACCATTCAGTCAACTTGCATGTTCGGGTTTCATTATATAGGATGCAATACCTATGGATACAGATAACAGGTGGTGAAGGCCTGGGGTGGGGTGGGAATAGGTGGAAGGGAGTAATGGGGGCAGGAGACATCTGTAATACTCTCAACAATAAAGACTTTTTTAAAATTATTTTTTTAAAAGAGTCTGTCAAATCGCTTGTTGAAATCCAGATACACAATGTGGTGTCTTTGGCAGTCTCTGATCTACTAACTCCATAAAAAATAAATAAATGTTGTTTGCCAAGAACTAAAGCTTTAGTGGAGCAATGCTGTTCTCAAACCACCTCTGTTTTGTTCATAAGTTACCTGTCTAATCATCAGTTCTAGAACTTCATTGAAAATTGACATCAAGCTGGCCGTTCAATTAATTTAAAATGTGTGAGATTAAAAGTCATGAAATTATTCACTTACTTGAACATAATTGATAAAGTCTTCCTTACAAAGAGCTCTTCGCTGTATTTTGTATTCTAGATCTGAAGCCTTCTTAATGATAGCCCTGAGGAGAAAGCCATTTAAAATGTAACACTTGAAAAGAGCAAAGCGTAGCCCTAGCCGGTTTCGCTCAATGGATAGAGGGTCAGCCTGCGGACTGAAGGGTCCCAGGTTCGATTCCAGTCAAGAGCACATGCCTGGTTGCCGGCTCGATCCCCAGTGGGGGGCATGCAGGAGGCAGCGAATCAATGATTCTCTCTCATCGTTGATGTTTCAATCTTTCTCTCCCTCTCCCTTCCTCTCTCTGCAATCAATAAAAAAAAATATTTTTTTAAAAAGCAAAGCTTAAATAACTATGGGTTTTATTAAGTCTCTTAATTTTTTATATATTTAAAAAATATTTACCAAAACATATAATTCCCAGACAATTATCCTTCATAAGCAAGTATTCTCTTACATGATTACTTCTGTGTTCTTAAGGGCATCAGGATATATTTTTAAACTTTCATGAAAATCATCTTAATTGCCAGAACCACTAACATTCCCACCAGCAAAAAACTAAAACAAAAAAAAACAATCTTAAATATTTTGCATTATTTATATTTGGCATTAATAAAGATTCCTCTTACTCCAAATTCAGGTCACTTAAATTTTAATAACAATCAACTCTTTCCTAAATTCCTCTTACTTCTGAGTTCCCAACATGCAGACTAAACACACACACACACACACACACACACACCAAAACCTAGATTGTCTCTACATAGAAAGGTTTATTATTTCTACAAGGACTTATGGGAGAAGACTCTGTATTTAGCTAAGGAATACACACACAAAAATGTGCATTTTAGGAGAATACAAGATATGCAAGACCAATAATTGTCTCTAGTTAATAACAACATTCACTGAGCGCTTATTAAGAGTCCACACCGATATGTTACATTTCATTAACAACGTTTACTTTAAGGATCCCCCTAATCACATTAGTACATTCACAGTCACTGTAAAATGAAGAAACAGTGGCAGAAAACCATTTAAAACTATTAGACTTAATGTTAACCAGTTACTGAGTGCCCATTTTATGCCAGACATTGTTGGCTAAGCCCTGGGGTAGAATAGGAAATTGAACTAAATGGGCCCCGTCCTCAAGTCTTGTTGGAAAGACTTATCTGCTCCTCCGGGGTCCCCTCGGTGCCCTCTCTGCATCCCCAGAGCATCTCCTGTCATCCACAGACAGTACACACCGCACTGCGATCCGAGCGCGTCTCCCCCACCACCCGCAGGGCAGCCGGCGCCTGATGGGCAGAGACCCTGGGATTATCACCTTTACAGCCCCAAGACCCGGCTCCAGGAAGGGCTGTCAGTATGTCTTGCGGGACGGGTCCCCTTGCAGTAAATGAGCAGTTAATTCTAGGCATCATCAACATCGAGAGACGGGCTTCCGCCACGTTAGGAAAATAAACACAAGTGCTCCCATCCCTGCCCCCGCCACACAGGCACGCTCGCGCCGCAACCTCCCCTCGGCCCGCCCCAGCGCTTCTTCGTCCTCAGCTCACTTTATCTCCGCATGACTGAACAGTCCGATGCGCTCCAGCTGCTCCAACTCCGGGAGCCGGTCCTCTATGCGTTCCTGGATGATCTCCGCCATGAGGTCCGAACTCTAGAACTCCACCAAGCGCTTCTCAACTTCCGACACGCGCGGGAAGGGACCACCTATTCCCGAGACCCGGCCCAGACGCTCGCACGTGCTGACGTAACGTGCGCTCTAGGTCCCGCCTTTTCCGTTTCCGCCGCCTCCGCCGTCGGAAAGGCCCTCGGGCACTTGCGGCCGCTGTCTCCTCCCTGTGGCCGACTGTGGTATTGCAGCGAGGGACCCTCCTTCGCAGTACGGCCCCAGGGGACTGGCGTGAAGGGGCGGGGCTAGCGTGGGGCGGGGTTTAGAAAAAGCGCCTCCGGGTCTGTAGGAGCTACCTGAAAGAGACGTGAGATGCATTTTCTACAGAATATTGTCTCCTTTTATTCTGCTCTCATCCCACGTCCTTGTTTTCCAAAACCGAGAACAACAACAAAAAAGAAAGGATAAAGCGTATTGTAAAGGGTGAGACAAAAATAATACAATAATTAATAAATAATAATACAAGAGTGAACTGTTTCAAATAACATTTCAAAAATTTAGTAATGAGCCCTAGCTGGTTTGGCTCTGTGGATAGAGCATTGGCCTTCGGACCTGAGGGTCCTGGGTTTGATTGCTGTCAAGGGCACATGCTATGTTTGTGGGCTCGATCCCCAATAGGGGGTGTGCAGGAGGCAGCCGATCAATGATTCTCTCTCATCATTGATGTTTTTATCTCTCTCTCCCTCTCCCTTCCTCTCTGAAATCAATAAAAATATATGTAAAACAAAGCAAAACAAAAATTAGTAATGAAAATCGTAGGGGGCGCTAAAGCTGATCAGGCTATCCAAAGCACTATGTCTTTTTCAGCTAGATTTAGAAACCAGTGTGATAACACTGGTTGTTCACGTGCCAATTAGAATCAATAATTGGCTGACTAATTTTTTAATGGTGAGAGATTTTTATTATTTAAACAATGATCCTGGCTGTGTCGGACAAGGTCTTTCAAAACTTATGGCTATGGGTGGACATCAGAAACTTTTTTAGAAGACGAGATCTTGGTATTGAAAAGGTTGTGTGTTATCGAATAAAATCAGTAAGATATAGACACTCCTAAACCATAAAGCAACTTAGCATTTCTAAGAAAACCATCAGACAACCCAGCTGGGACATGACATTGTTGGTGTAATTACTAAACTCAAAATAACTATACAGCTCAGCTCTTTTTTAAGATGATACAGAACCAAAGCAGGAGTTCTTGCTAGACCTGTTTATTTCAACATTTGCATGAGACCTTGATCCTCTGTGTGATTTATGAAAGAAGAATAGGGTTAGCATTCACCAGCTCCCACCTCTGTGCTTTTCTTTTTTTCCTTTCACATTTTACCCCACTGGTTTTGTCTGTTCTTGTCTCCTTGAAGGAAAGATTACAATCAAGAGACAAAGTGTAGAAAAACAAGCAAGAATGTATTGACCGCAGCAAAGAATATACTTAGGACTGTGAAACAAGGAAGGACTTAGAACAGCGGTTCTCAACCTGTGGGTCTCGACCCCTTTGGGGGTCGAACGACCCTTTCACAGGGGTCGCCTAAGACCATCAGAAAACACATATATAATTACATATTGTTTTTGTGATTAATCACTATGCTTTAATTATGTTCAATTTATAACAATGAAAACACATCCTGCATATCAGATATTTACATTATGATTCATAACAGTAGCAAAATTACAGTCATGAAGTAGCAACGAAAATAATTTTATGGTTGGGGGTCACCACAACATGAAATGTATTAAAGGGTCTCGGCATTAGGAAGGTTGAGAACCACTGACTTAGAAGAAGCAACAGGAAAACCTAGGCTGTGCTGCTTTGGCTCACTGAGAAGTGAGCGAAAAGGGGGCCTTGGAGACAAGTTCAGGGGGTTCGCTTGGGACAAGCTGCCACTGCCCAGTGCTCCCCTGGTTACAAGTCTTGTGGGGTCCCGTGGAGTTTAGGAGATGCATGCCTGTGGGGGAAGAAGAGAGGAAGGGAATGGCAAGGGCATGCTCCCTGGAGGGAGAGGGTGCGCTGGGACCTTTGTTTTGAGGGGTTTTAAGGCTGGGTGTTTAGGGGAGGTCTTAGGAGAGGATCTCAATAGAATATTCACCAGCTTTATGCTGCTGTAACCAAAACGAGGTTTATTCTCTTAACTTCATCTGTCCAAGGATGTGGTTGGCAAATTACACTAATTGAATTTCTGCTATCTGTCTCCCTGAGTGGGGTGATTTAAGCCACTTACCCTCTGTTTGGGGGGAAGTGCAACCCATTTACTCGTAAGTGTCCTTGGTGTAGGGAAGATAGGATTTACTAGGGGCCTGCAAACTGCTGTCTAACTTAGTTTCCCTATTCTGCTTGTCCTGGAATTTTCCTAGCTTCTTACTATTCTGTAACAGTTGTACACATATGCAAAAATCCATCCACTGAGGTTCAAACTTTAGATTTGTGCACTTCATGAAAGTTATACTTTAAAAGAAAATAGTATCCTCTTTGAGGATACCATTCCTTTCAAGAGCAAAATATTGAAACACAAATGGCCAAAGCCTTCTCCCTCTCCAAAAGAGTTCATGTGAATTTTGCATCCAAGCCCACAATGTATTCGTTTTAAAATAAATTATTGGCCTGGCCCGGCTGGTGTTGCTCAGTGGTTGAGCATCGACCCCTGAACCAGGAGGTCACAGTTCGATTCCCGGTCAGGGCACATGCCAGGGTTTCGGGCTCTACCTTCAGTAGGGGTGTGCAATAGATGATGTTTCTCTCTCATCTCATCGATGTTTCTATCTCTCTATCCCTCTCCCTTCCTTTCTCTGAAATCAAATTAAAAGACATATTTAATATAAATTATTGTCTGTGTGTTTCAAATCATCATGTAAGATTAATCCCAGAAAGATGTATCCTGCCCACCCCATGTTGGAGAAACACTGGCCCCATTGAACCCAGTTTGGAAAACAGGGATGAGGGGCCTAAGGCCCCTAAGATAATCTCTTAGGGAATTGGACAGATGGACGATAGCAGATGTTTGCAAATCAAATCAAAACTTCTGTTCTTGCCTTCAAAGTACGTAAGTGTAAACTTCAAAATAGCTTGAACTTTTCTTTAATTATTCATTGTCACATCTGAAGATTAAGTTCTCAGATAGCTCAATGGTTAAAAACAGCAGGCAAAGAAATGCTTATCTTTTATTATTATTATTACTAGAGGCCTGATGCACGAAATACGTGCAAGAGTAGGCCTTCCTTCCCCAGGCTGCCAGCACCGGCTTCCCTCTGGCACCCGGGACCCGGGCTTCCCTCGCAGCCCTGGCTTCGTCCGGAAGGTCGTCCGGAAGAATGACTGGAAGGACGTCCAGAAGGACATCTGGTCTAATTAGCATATTATGCTTTTATTATTATAGGTGATTATTTTTTTTATTTTTTTAAAATATATTTTATTGATTTCTTACAGAGAGGAAGGGAGAGGGATACAGAGCTAGAAACATCGATGAGAGAGAAACATCGATCAGCCGCCTCCTGCACAGCCCCCACTGGGGATGTGCCCGCAACCAAGGCACATGCCCTTGACCGGAATCGAACCTGGGACCCTTCAGTCCGCAGATCGACGCTCTATCCACTGAGCCAAACCGGTTAGGGCTATAGGTGATTATTATTATAATTATTATTTGGTAAAGGGACGTACCTAACTTCAGTGCTAAATCACCTGGAATCCCATCCCCCTACCTTGCTTAAGTCCCCTGCTCGCTTCTCCCACACAGAGAGCTCCAGTCCACTTCAAAGTCAGAGCAGAAGTGATAGACACGGATTGGTCTTTGATGCCTAAGAACACCAGAGCCCGCTGTTTGATGCGAATGCAAAGCATCTGTACTTTTCAAACCTTTCATGTTATCTCACACCGCTGCAACAAAAGCTGAAGAGTTTGAGGTGACACACATTATACACATTAAAATATTTGGAACCGGGGACTTCTCATTTCTTCTTCTATTATGTATAGCTTCTTTTACTTCGCAAACCACACGGGATAGTAAATTACTTCTGGCACGCAGCCCTTGTCCTCTTGCCAAATTTCAACTGAGGCAAGTTTTTACAGCGAGGCTAATAAGCCCTGGAAATGAGGAGGTAAGTAGAATGGAGATGATGGCATGGCCTTTAACTGCGGGAGCCTCGGAGGACAACGTGAGATTCGAATAGATTCTACTTTTTAAAGTTTTTTTTTATTCTAATGAAATCTTTAAAAACTCTTTCAGGTTACTCCAGTTCAAGCACATGTACATGGAAAGACTTTCTTTTAATTGGCAAAAGCATTTTTGTGGGTTGTTTTCCCGTGGCTTACGTTATTGCTTTTTGAAAACTCACAAAAAAAAAAAAAAAGGAGAAGAAGAAAAGAAATGGTAGTTTGGGGATAACAACCTACTATTAAAACAAACTGACATCTTGAAAAAAAACATGCTCTGAAATGATTGGCCTGCCAATTGTTTGTGTGTGAATACATTTCATCAAAGCCATCGCTGATTAGCTACGTCAACTTTTTTTTCAGTTTGCCTCCAACCCATATAGAAACCCGATCCTGCTTAAGTACGTTGCAGGTCTTTCTTGAACAAAACTTCAAAAAATTGAAAATAAATATCACGTGTCATTTTCATCACGGAAAGAAGCAGGTAGGATCTGTTGTGAGGTAACACCCATTTCTCTAAATTGAATTCCCACGTCCGTTCCCAGGCACAAGTGACAAGGAAAAATTCTTTTTCCTCTTCTCATTTTACCCTCCAATTAGACGTGGACTGATTAGCCTCAGCATCACATGCTCATCCCAACTTGTTTCGGCAAAAGAAGAGGTTTGGCATGTGTGTGTGTATGTGTGGCATGGCCTTCCTCCAGAAATGCCAGCTTTCTTATCGTTCACCAGCCATTCCATGCTATTTACACACACTATTCCCTGTGCCTGGAATATCTTTTGTCCCTTCATTCATTTGGGAAGTGGCTTGGGCCTGCTCCCTGGAGGGGGAGCCCCCCAGGACCTTTATTTTCAGGAGTTTTAAAGGCTGCACATTTAGGGGAAGTCATAAGAGAGAATCAATAGAATACTCAT